CTGTGCCTATGACCTCCATGGTTTCCCCTACATTTTCCTGTAGTAGCTTTAAAGTTTCAGGTCTTAACTTTGAGCTCCCTGATCCACTTGGAGTGGATTTTTTGTACAGAAGGAAAGTCAGAGGCTTAATTTCAGTCTCATGCAGGTGGATATTGTTTCCCCAGCACCATTTGTTGAAGAGGTTGTCTTATTTACTTTGTATATTTTTGGTTCCTTTATCAAAAATTAGTTTGTGGTAGCTGCGTGGTTTTATTCCTGAGTTAGTTTCTAGTTTGTTTCATTGGTCTTTAGGTCTGTGTTTGTGCCAGTACCAAACTGTTTTTATTACTATGGCTTGGTAGTATAGTTTGAAGGCTGATATTGTGATACCTCCAGCAAAGAGTGTGTTCTTGAAGAAAATTTTCTAATATTTTGGGGGTGATTTGGTTGAATGATCATCATTTTATCTCCATAAAAGCATTTTCCAAATTGGTCTATTTGCTTTTTTGAGTAAGAACTGGACAGAGGGAGGAGTCAACTATGTCATGTTTAGGATACTGCTGCCAGAAGGGAAGGAGAGTAGGGGGAGGGCTGAGAGAAGGAAGATGGAAAGAATATTCTTATGAAAATATTACTTGCTATCATCTTATTCAAGAACCTAGTCATATATGCTTATAAATCTATCAAGATTGAATCTATTCATATTCATGAAGAATATTCTATACTGGTGCATAGTTAATATCTTGAATGTTCTTCTAACCAGATCTTCTTTTTTCTTTTTTCCTTTCTTCTCTTTTGAGGCAGGACCTGACGATTTCTCCATAGTGCTGGGATTACCAGAATGCACCACCACACCTGGCTCAGTTCTTTTTTTTGTAAATGGAACTGAGAGTACTGAGGAGTTTGTTTGGTGGGTAGGCATCCTATGAACTCCCCTCTTTGCCCTTCTTTTTTTTTTTGCCAGTCATGGAGCCTGGACTCTGGGCCTGGGTGCTGTCCCTCAGCTCTTCAGCTCAAGGCTAGCGCTCTACCACTTGAGCCACGGTGCCACTTCCGGCTTTTTCTGCTTATGTGGTGCTGAGGAATGGAAACTAGAGCCTCATGCATGCAAGGCAAGCGCTCTACCACTGAGCCACCTTCCCAGCCCTTGGGCCCTTCTTGTCAGCTGAAGTGTCACAGGTACATGAGGTTGAGACAAATGGAATGGTCCTCTTAGGAGCTGGTTTTTGATGAACTGGTATTCAGCAAACCAGCAGGCCGTGTCCTAGCTGCCTTGAGGATGTCTTGATGTGGATACTGGTCAAGTCTTTGGAATATGACCAAGTGGAGATCCCATTGTCTTCCAGCCTGTGCGTGCACATCATTGTTTGTGCCTCGTGTACCCCCAGAGTGTGGCTGTCATTCTGTACCTTACAGCATGGAAGCCCTACCTTTCTATGGGCTCCATAGCTCTCTGGGAAGGTTAGGACTTCCTCTACTATGTCACAAACAACAAATCGCAAGCCTCCTCTGTAGCAGCCTTGCATCTATGCCTCTGGCTTGTCTGTCTACCATAGTGCCCAGAGGAGGAATGTCAAAAAAGTTTTCTAGTTACGAACCATTTTGAAGCTCTGAATACTTTTACTACTTACATATTTATATTTACAACAGCTAATTGTGTTTTGCCGGTGTCCTTAAAAATATCCCTACTGAGATATACTTTGCATGTCATAAAATGCAACATTTTGAGTACATTTCAGTAGTTGTCATTGAATTTACTGGGCTGTGAAACCATGACCACAATCTAACTTTTTGGTTTGTTTAAGTAACAGCTTTATTGAAATATAATTCAGGTCCCATAAGTTTCACCCATTTAAAGTGTAGCATTCAGTGGTTTCTGATATAGTCACAAAATTGTCTAACATTCACCACAATCTACTTGCTTGACATTTGTATCATCCCCGAAAGAAATCTTGTCCCCATTAATAAGTCACTCCTCCTACTCCTGACACCTCCTCATCTGTTTCCGTCTCTATGGACATTGCATATAAGTACAATTGTACACTATTTATCTTTTGTGACTCTCAATCCCTGTATTAAAACAGTTTTATAGAGCAACCTATTACATGCTAAACATTGGCCCCAGGGATATTCATGGAGTTGGATAGTGCACACAGTTTTGATTCCCTCTCTCTCTTTCTGTCTCCCTTTTTCTCTCCCTGCCCTCTCCCTCTCACCCTTCCTCACTCTGAAACCAGTGGCTTGAACTCAGGACCTCATATTATCACTTGGCTTTTTTTTTTTGGTCCGGTCGTGGGGCCTGAACTCTGGGCCTGGGCACTGTCCCTCAGCTCTTCAGCTCAAGGCTAGCACTCTACCACTTGAGCCGCAGCACCACTTCCAGCTTTTTTCTTATGTGGTGCCGAGGAATCGAACCAAGGGCCTCAGGCATGCAAGGCAAGAGCTCTACCACTGAGCCACCTTCCCAGCCCCTATCACTTGGCTTTTCCACTCAAGACTAGCATTCTACCACTTGAACCATACCTCTACTTCTGACATTTTGCTGGCTAATTGAAGATGAGAGTCTCATGGACTTTTCTGCCCAGGCTGGCTTTGAACATCAATCATCAGATCTCAGCCTCCTGAGTAGCTAGGATTACAGGGGTGAGCTATCAGTGCCTGGGTTAGATTTTCATTTCTATAATTTCTGATCTATAGAAATTCTTGGAAAGCTGTTACTAGAAAATAACTATATATAAGATAAATCTGTGTTTCATCTACATGTGACTGATGTGTGTTTGGAGTGTCTCCAGGCAGACCTGGAAGAGGAGGCTGTTTGACTGGAGTCCAAGATTAAAAAAAAAAAAAAGAAGAAGGAAGTTGGGTGCCAGTGGCTCACACCTGTACGCCTAGCTACTCAGGAGGCTGACATCTGAGGATCATGGTTCAAAGCCAGTCTGGGGAGGAAAGTCTGTGAGACTCTTATCTCCAGTAAACCACCAGAAAACCAGAAGTGGCACTGTGGCTTAGGTGGTAGAGCACTAGCCTAGAGCTGAAGAGCTGAGGGACCGTGCCCAGACCCAGAGTTCAAGCCCCACGACTGACAAAAAATAATAATAAAATAAAATTTTAAAAGGGGGAGACAAGCTGGGCATTGGTGGCCCACACTTGTAATCCTAGCTACTCAGGAGAGTAAGATCTAAGGATCGAAGTTCAAAACCAGCCTGGGCAGGAAAGTCTGTGATACTCTTATCTCTAATGAACCACCAAAAAAATTCCAAAAGTGGAGCTGTGGCTCATGTGGTAGAGGGCCAGCTGTGAGCAACAAAGCTGAGTGAGCACAAGAGACCCTGAGCTCAAGCCCCAGTACCAGCACACACAAATAGAGGGAGGCAAGGGAATCCAAGTGAAATCCAGGTGCAGTGTGCTCACTGCCAGCCTGATCTCTGAGTGAGCTACTGAGAGACTTTGACTTTTATTCTTGCTCCCAAGACAAGCATTGATGGAAGAACAGGTGAATGACCACTTGCAGGTGCACTTGGATGAGATTTACCACCTCAAACAGAATCTGGCCTGCACTGAAGAGAAAATGGCCTATTTGTCCTATGAAAGAGACAAGGAAATCTTGGTGAGAACATCATGGGGAAGCTCTTTAAGAAAGGGCCAAGGAGAAATACATAGGACTGACAAATCTGTTTGGATGCCTCCAAACGAATTCAACAACCAAGTCCTGGGTGACTGTGCTTCTTCTGATGGCAAAGGAGCTCTAAAATCTAGTCTAGTCATTATATGCATGTGAGCGCCATCTCATCATCTAGCTTAGCTGCTTTGGGAAACCTAGTGCTGTGGTTCTCACGCTTGAGAATGGTCCCTGGGCCCCATCCCAGAGTCTGTGACAACAGATAGGGAGTAGAACTTGCCAAGCCCTGGTGGTGGTGGGGAGGTTGCTGGTGATGCTTGAATTGCTGGAGCAGAGAAAGCTTTTGCAAACTACTCCTGTGGACCTAGCTTCCTACCCTTCACTCTCTTCCACACCCTTCTCTCCTACCCCTGTCCTAGCTTAACCTTGTCCCAAGTAAATCCTCAGTCTCACAAGGTAATGATGGGAAGTATGGCTGAGTCTGCACGGCCTTCCGCAGCAACTCTGTCTCTGCTGTGTGCATACTGGGAATTCTCTATATCCCTCCTAAAAGATTCAGCTCAACCATAGTTGGTGCAGATCCCCTAAGCAACTCAGTGAAGTAACCACCATTTTGTTTTAATTTCGGGTAAGCTTTTGTGTTTGTCACTTGCAGGAGGTCATGGAGAATTTCAAGGACCGAATATCCAAGTTAGAACATCTACAGGAAGTCACTGAAGTGGGTATGACAGCAAAGCTCCGAAGCTATCCCCTGAAGTTTTTGTTTAGACTTGTAAGCCTGCTCCTCACCTTGGCCACCATTCTCTTGGTCCTTGTCTCCACGGTGTGCTCCTGCCCCTTCACCCTGGTCAAGTCGCGTCTGCGCACATGCACCATACTCATACTGCTTGGCCTCGGGGCACTGGTCTGGTACAAGTGGCACACTATAGACTGGCAGGCTTGGAGCCCCTTTAGTTGGAGGCTGGACTCCAAGGACACTAAGACTTCATCGGATGAGCCTTAACGGGGTCAGGGGGGCTACTGCTGAGTGCCAGTGCCCTCCCCCTGGGAATCAAGGACATCCAGCAAGCCCTTTGAAGAGGGTCACCTCACAGCTCTGACTTTCCAGTTCTGGAACTGCCAGCCCAGTGAGACGCATGCACATACCCACCACCTCCCACTTCCACTTCACCACAGTTCTTCCATGCTGTCTGTAGACATGAAACCTGAAAAAGGTAGAAATCCACGATGTGCTGTTCTTCTCTTTATTTCCTTTGCTCTCTCCAAGGGCTGGTGCCTATACACGCAGTGGCTTCGGGGGTCCCAAATGATTGTAGCAGTCACTAGGACTCTGTTAGTTTGGGCAAGGAAAAATTACATGTACCTCACAAGGATGGAGAAGCAGGGAGGGGAGAGGCAGAGCTCACGCAGGGGACACTGAAGAGACAGATGAGGCCTCTGTTTTAGAAGTGCTGGAGAGTTCAGAGCTATCATCAACTTTCTTCCCAAAAAGCTGCAAGATGCAGTTTCGAAACTGGAAGGATAGAAAGCATTGTTCAGCAAGGCAGGAAGGGCAAGGGTGCTGTGCTAAACGTAAGGCGTGGGTCTGTTCATTACCCATCACCTTCTCATTTAGGATGCCATCAGTGGGATGGAGGAAGGCTAAGGTCATTCTTTGCACATGGAGGCGGCCATCTGAGTCATCTGAGTGAGCAGTTGATGGTGGCTGCTGTGGGTTGAATTGTGTCTCCCCAAAAGATATGTTCCAAGTCTTAACTCCTAGAACCTGCCATATATCCTTATTTGGAAATAGGGTCTTTGTATGTGTAATTAAGGTGCTTGTTAAGATGAATTCATGCTAGATTAATATGAATCATAGTCCAAAGACCGCTGTTCTTATGATAAGAGGAAGATTCAGATGCAGCTACATATACACAGAGGCGAGACCATGTAAAGATGAAGGCAGAAATTGGAAGAATGCCAAGGAATTACCAGAAGCTATAAGAGAGGTACAGAAATGATTCTCCTTCAGCACTTCCAGAAGGAAACATCCTTGACTCCAGACTTCTGGCCTCCAGAAAAGTGAGAGGCTCAATACCAAGTTATTGTTTTGTGTGTGTGCTGGTCCTGGGACTTTGAACTCAGGGCTTGGGCACTGTCCCTGAGCTATTTTTGCTCAAGGCTATCATCTACCATTTGAGCCACTGCTCTATTTCCAGCTTTTTGGAGATAATAGTCTTATTGACTTTCCTGCCTGGGCTGGCTTCGAACCATGGTCCTCAGATCTCAACCTCCTGAGTAGCTAGGATTACAGATGTGACCACCAACCTCTGGCTAATCCCAAATTGTTTCAAGCCATCAAGTTTCTGGTAGTTTGTTATGGAAGTACCAAGATACTTATGCAGTAGATAAACATGATGCCAGCTAAGGGCCATGCACAGAGTGACCCATATTGAGAATATCTAGCAAGAAGCCCAGAGGCATCTGGGCGCTGGTGGCTCACATCTGCAATCTTAACCATGCAGGAGGCTGAAATCTAAGGATCACAGTTTGAAGCCAGCCCAGGCAGGAAAGTCCATGGAAACTCTTATCTCCAGTTAACCACCAGAAAACCAGAAATGGCACTGTGGCTCAAAGTGGCAGAGCACTAGACTTGAGTGCAAAGCTCAGGGAGAGCACCCAGTTCCTGAGTTCAAGCCCTATAACCACCACCACCAACAAAAGAAGCCCAGAGGCAATTTAATGACCAGGAATGTGGATGACATCTTATTTCTATCCTACTAACCTCAGGGAAGCTGGAAATGTAGCTCAATGGAGAGTGCTTGCGTAGCATACATGAGGCCCTGAGTTCCATTCCCAGCACCTTAGAAAGAGGGAAGAAGTGACCCATTCATTTTTGAAGCTGAATGTGATGGCATATGTCTGTAATCCTAGCACTCAGGAGGTTGAAGCAGGAAGGTCAACAGTACCTGTGCTACAGAATGACTTTGAGGACAGACTGGCTATGTAGTGGCACCCTGTCTCAAAGGAAATAGATGACAAGGTAAGGACTAGGTCAATAATAGTGTAGCTAGCTCCCTCATCTCTTCATCAAAGAAAGTCTTCTGCTCCCAAAAGGGGTCTTCTCTTTTCTGGCTGACCCCTAAAAAGTCTTGAGTTCTATCAGTTTCTTAGTGATGTCTTATAATTAAACCAACCACACAGATTTTAGAATCCATACTACAAGCATTCAGGCCTATCCATTTCTCCTCTCTTCTTTCTCTTGCAGGCACTGGGGATCAGGGCCTAGAGCTTGTTAGTGAAACAGTCTTCGTTTTTCCGATAGCATCTAGTGCTAACTTGCGTGACCAGCCTTGGATCATAATTCTCCTACCTCTGCCTCCCAAGTAGGTGGAATTATAGGCATGCACTACCACACCTGGATTTTCAAATACTTTTGGTGGTGGTGTTTGTTTTGAGCTAAGATCTCACAACTTTTGCCCAGGCTGACCTCAAATTTCAGTCCTCTTCTCTCAGCCTCCTGAGTAGCTGGGATTTCAGACCCATGTGTATCCAGCTATCATCAAAACTCTGAATGTTAAAAAAACATAATTGTTGAGATTGATGGTATAAATGGACTGCAAACCAGAATGGTCTTGGTGAAGATCTAGTAAGTGAGGCCAAGAGATTCAATTAACACGTACTTATTGAGTACTCACTATGTGGCACACAGTTCTAGAGGGATACAGCCTTGAACAGCAAGAGCAAAACTCCCTTTCCTCATTGACCTTCATTGTAGAAAATCTACTGAAGTAGCAAAGTGGAATGGATGAAAGCAAAGCTTAGAAACCTGGCAAGGTCCAGAAGTGCAGACATCTGTCAGGAGGGGAAGTTTTGGGAGGAGGAGTGGAAAGAAACAGAGACAGTGTTTGACAAGATAGATTAGGATTCCTCAAATTGAACCTAGACTTAACAAGAGATGCTTGTGAAAGACAGGAGGCAGGGGTCAGCCACAGAGCTACATTCTCTGGGCATGAACATGCCAAGGACTCTTTCTAGGAATTGTTGTGGGACTAATTGTACTTAGTGTTTCAAAATGACTGAGAAGAAGAGGTGCTTAATGCTTTCTACAGACCTCTCTACCTGGCTTGTTCGGAGGATGAAGCAATGGAGTGTTTATAAGATGGAAGAAGAGGACTGGTGTCGTGCAGGGAAACCGCTTGTCTAGCATTCCACCTCCAATACTGTAGCAAAGAACTGTTTTGAAGGGCTGCATCCGAAGGCGATAAATCTCACAAGGTCATCTGTAACCCATCAGGAGTCATGGGCAACTTGCTGCTAAAGCCTATTATGCTAGCCAAGGAAAGCTGCCATCACAGGAGGCCTTAGGGCAAGACCACAGCGCATTCCACCCCAGCGAACACATCGACTCCCCAAGTCTCATCAGCTCTCAGCCAATGCAGTCAGAAGGGCCTGCTTTTGTTTTTGTAGGGAGGAGATTCCACAAATTAGGGTTTTGTTTTTGTTTTTGGTTGGTTGTGGGGCTTGAGCTCTGGGCCTGGGTGCTGTCCCTCAGCTCTTCAGCTCAAGGCGAATGCTCTACCGCTTGAGCCACAGTGCCACTTCTGGTTTTCTGGTGGTTCGTTGGAGATAAGAGCCTCACAGACTTTCCTGCCTTGGCTGACTTTGAACTGTGATCCTCAGATCTCAGCTTCCTGAGTAGCTAGGATTACAGGCGTGAGCCACTGGTGCCTGGCTGACCTTAGGGGTTGAAAGGAGCAGGTGGAGATGATTAAGAGAAGACTTGAATCTGTAGCCCCAAGAGCTGTGGAGCTGTGCTCACACAACTCTGGCACAAGGTCTGGCTGGGGCTGGGTGACATGCTGAGCCTTTTCCTTCTCCCCAGGAGAGCTTCTCTGAACCTCTGCTCCCCAAATGCCCCGTGGACTCCTCATTGATGATAGCATTCCAGGGTACAAGCATCACCGGGCTCTTCCCGGGTATATTTTGAGTTCGATCCACCCAGTGTTGCTTACCTGCCGGTTCATGAAGACGTAGATGATGGGATTGTAGATTGTGGCACTCTTGGCGAAGTAGGATGGTAGGGCAGCCACCAGAGGGTGGAAGGCATAGCCAGGGTGGGCAGTAGCAAAGCATGCAAAGAAGGCGTAGGGGCCCCAGCAGACGCAGTATGCAAAAACCATCACCACCACCATGCGTGTCACCTCCTTCTCGGCCTTCTGAGTGGACTCAGATTCTTTCTGCAGCTTTGCCACCTGGGGGGTGGGCCAGGGACAACAAGTGACAATGAGTTGGGGAGTCACCAGGACTATATCTGCTCAAGACTAGTGCTCTACCACTTGAGCCACAGCTCCATTCCCAGCTTTTTCTGAGTAGTTTATTGGACATAAGAGTTTCATGGATTTTCCTGCCCGGGCTGGCTTTGATAGATCTGAGTCCTGAGTACCTAGGATGGAATTCTCTTATCTGTTTAAGAGGCTCAGTAGGCTGCTTTGGGAGAAGAGCAGCTTAGAGGGAAGGGAGTGTGACACAGCTGGTTCTGTGTCACTGTCTCGACCTCCTGTCAACCCAGAGTGCAGCCGGAAGGGTGGGGGCTTACTGCTCGGATGGCCAGCCACACTTGGAGGTAGCAGAGCACGATGATGCTGAGTGGGATGATGCAGCATGTCACCATGAGAACCATCATGTAAGACTGCACACCGGGGTAGGAGGTGCCACTGAACACATCCGGGCCACAGGATGTCTTCAGGCCATAAGGCCAGTACCTGGAGAGAAGGGCTGAGTCTCACAAGGCCAGCACAACACATCCCGGCCCCGGCATGCCTCTGATATAAGTCAGAGCTTTTTGTGTGTGTGTTTTTTAAAAAAATTGTTTGTTGGTAGTACTGAGATTTAAACTCAAGGATAAGCACATGTTTGAGGCATGCCTCTAAGCTCATAGGGTTTTTATTTTGTATTAAGCCCCAGACCTGAGGCTTAAACTCAGGGCCTGGGAACTATCCTTTAGCTTTTCTGCTCAAGGTTGGTGCTCTATCACTTGAGCCATAGCTCTACTTCCAGCTTTTTACTGGTTAATTGGAGATGAGGCTTATGGACGTTCCTACCGTGGCTGACTTGGAAATACATTCTTGGAATTTCAGCCTCCGGAGTAGCTAGGATTATAGGTGTGAACCACAGACTCATGGTCTTTGGGCATTCACTAATGTGCTAACACTACTGCTATTTCCAGAACATTTTCATCACTCCAAAAGAAAAATTGGGGTAGGGATTTTTCAAAGGGAAGGTAAGGCTCCCTCTTGTTCGAGCTAAGAACACCTATGTATACATGAATCTTTTTTCTGAGGTCAACTAGGCTACAACTAGAGTAACTAGAGTTGCTAACTGGTATGAGAAAAGTATCTTTCTATCAAAGTAGGTTTCTTCCTTTAGAATATTGAGATAATTGTTTTTGTTTTTGTTTTCTGCCAGTCCTGGAGCTTGAACTCAGGGCCTGGGCACTATCCCTGAGCCCTGTTGTGTTCAAGGCTAGCGCTCTGCCACTTGAGCCACAGCGCCACTTCTGGCTTTTTCTGTGTATGTGGTACTGAGGAATTGAATCCAGGGCTTCCTGCATGCTAGGCAAGCACTCTACCACGAAGCCACATTCCTAGCCTTGAGAGAATTGTTTTTTTCTGAAGGGCTCATGCTTTGGCCAGGTGGTTAACTCTTGTTAGTTTTTTTCCCTTTTTTTTAGCAGGTCCTGGGGCTTGAACTCAGGGCCTGGCCGCTGTCCCCAAGCCTTTTTGTGCTCAAGGCTAGCACTCTACCACTTAAGCCATAGTACCACTTCTGGCTTTTTTGAATAGTTTATTAGAGATCCGACACTCATGGGGACTATTCTGCCTGGGCTTGCTTCCAGTCATGATCCTCAGATCTCTGCCTCCTGAGTAACTAGGATTACAGGCACTGATGCCTGGTTGTTAATTACATTTTAGTTACATACATGCTTTTCCTGAGTATTTCAATTAAGACATCCTGTTCGAAGCTCCTTGAATTTTAGTTATGTCTGTTAGTTAAGCCACATCTTTTTGTAGATGGTGATCCTGGGCTCAACCAAAGTGAGGAGGGGGGTGGGGTTTGCTGGGTTAGGGATAAAAAGGGAGCCGTCTGCTTGCTCTGTGTGCTTGCTTGCCAGATTTTGGGCTGATGGTGCAGCCTTATGCAGAAGTAAACGAATTCCTTTAGAACTGGTGTCCTTACCTATGCGACACCCCAACATCCCAAGCTATTTCTAACACTGAGTAGCCATGAGGATTAAATAAATAATTCAATCACCCTCCATCAGGGGTGGCTCTTGTCCATGTTCAATTACTGGAAGCTGTCAGGGGCCTGGGGGCTCAGGAGGGTGGGAGATGAAGACAAACTTTCACAATGGCCTTGTTTCCCAGATTCATGGAAGCTACTCAAAGAAAGAATGTTTTCTCTTGGCGCAGGTAGCTCATGCCTATAATTGTAGCTACTCAAGAGGCTGAGATCTAAGGATCACGGTTCAAAGCAGAAAAGTCCCTGTGAGATTCATCTGCAATTAACTACTCAAAACCCAGAAGTGGTACTATGTTTCAAGGGGTAGAGTGCTAGCTTTGAGCACATAGAGGCTCAGGGACAGTGTCTAGGCCCTGAGTTCAAGCCCTCCAACCTACCAAAAAAAGTTTTCTCTCCAAATGCCATAGGAACTTATTCTTCAGACTGTCACAGTAACCTTCATTGTCTTGTCCCATCCCTCCCAGTCAAACATCTGAGCCATTTATTCATAAATATAGGTCTTTGGGCTGGGAAGGTGGCTCAGTGGTAGAGTGCTTGCCTTGCATGCCTGAGGCCCTGGGTTCAATTCCTCAGCACCACATAAGAAAAAAGAAAAAAGCCAGAAGTGGTGCTGTGGCTCAAGTGGTAGAGCGCTAGCCTTGAGCTGAAGAGCTGAGGGACAGTGCCCAGGCCCA